AAAAAAAAAAAAGAACAACTAGATAGCAAAGTTTGAAATCCGTAGAACATTTATGACAAAACCATGTAATATTGTATCCCTATGAACCCCCAAAAACAAGTAGCTAGGGACAAACTACCAATAGCCTCTAGACCCAGTTGGTCTTGGCATCCCTGCAAGAGGAAAAAGGAAGCAATGGGGCAATATCTGACGGACCTGAGAACAGGAGAACTAAAGAATATTTGTTAAAAGACTATGTAGGCCAATTATATTGCAGTATTTGTAACTAAGGGGTTTTAAAGGGCAGGAGTAGTTGGCCTCCTATGAACTCTCATAACTGATTTGCCAAGGCATCATTCTGCGGCAGATACAGTAAAGGATAAAACAAATGTGCTCCCTATACAAGAGCACACACTTTAAAATGGAAATGTTAGCTTGTGTTTCTTTCTGTGCAATTTGTATAAAATGCATAGAAGATTGGCTTTAAAAGTGCAGGCACCAGGGGCGCCTGGGTGGCTCAGTTGTTTAAACAGCTGCCTTCAGCTCAGGTCATGATCCCAGGGTCCTGGGATCGGGCCCCGCATCGGGCTCCTTGCTCCATGGGGAGCCTGCTTCTCCCTCTCTCTCTGCCTGCCTGCTGCTCCCCGTGCTTGTGCTCTCTCTCTGTCAAATAAATAAAAAATCTTAAAAAAAAAAAAAGTGCAGGCACTGGAATAACAATGTGAATGCACTTAACACTACTGAACTGTACACTTAAAAGTGGTTAAGATGGCGAATTTTTTATGTATATTTTACCACGGTTTAAAAAAATGCAGGCACAAGAGTATGAATTATGAACGGGAACAATATCGCTCCCAAGGGGGCCAAAATTGTTGAGAGGGTGGAGGTTTACGTTTTAAAGTGCCACAGTACGTAAACAGATATACAGTATAACTATGGTATTAAAATTCCATTGGAGGGTGATGATTAGGGAAAAAACAAGTCTAAAGAGCTACCTGGAAGAGGGACAATAGTGAAAGATTAAGAAATACTGCTCTAGAGCAATTCTGCTTGGTTCAAATTTAGCCCCAACACTTACTTTAGTAGCTATGGGTGAGTAACAATCCTTTTGTGACTCAGTTTTGTCAGCTACAAAATGGAGATGATAATATTGGGATTGCTATGATTAAATAAGTGAATGCACATACAGTTGACTCTTGAAAATGTGAGGATTAGGAACACCGACCCCCCCCAAGCCCCCACGCAAAAATGTAAGTATAATTTTGACTCGCCCAAAACTTAACTACTAATAGCCTAGTGTTGACTGGAAGCCTCACTGATAACATAAACAGTTAATTAACACATATTTTATATCTTATATGTATCGTGTATTCTTACAATAAAGTAAGCTAGAGAAAAGAACGTGTTAAGAAAATCATAGGAAAATAGAAAATATATTTATAGTACTGTACTGTATTGAAAAAAAATCCACATATAAGTGGACTCATGCATTTCAAACCTGTGTTGTTCAAGGGTCGACTATAAAGCATTTAAATTTGTCTAGTACATGGCAAGTGCTTAATGGATCTTACCTGTAATTATTGCTCACCAGCAAGGAGGGGAAGAGGAAGAGAGAGAATCCTAAGCAGGTTCCTTGCCCAGGGTGGAGCAGGGCTCGATCTCACAACCTTGAGATCATGACCTGAGCTGAAATCAAGACTTGGATGCTTAACTGAGCCACCCAGGTGCCCCATATTTTAGCTATTATAGTAGCACTGTACCAGATTGTAATCACAAAGAGAACTACATATGCTCTAAGAGTTTTTAATCTTAGTTGTATGACCTTTTTTTTTGTAAAAGTTAAGTTTTCATCAGATATATATGTTCCCTCATTACAACTTCATCTCTACTTTTGTGGTACATAATAGATCTTCAGTAAATATTTATTGAGCAAATGAATATTAATCATCATAATATATAACATAAAGAATACATAGTATGTTTTAAAACATGCATATTAAAGGGGCGCCTGGGTGGCTCAGTCAGTTAAGCATCCGACTCTTGATTTTGACTCAGGTCATGATCTCAAGGTTGTGAGATTGAGCTTTATGCTGGGCGTGAAACCTGTTTAGGATTTTCTCTCTCCCTCCGCCCCTCCCCCCCAAAAAATAGGCATATTAAAAAATGAACTGAAGCAACAAATCTTGGAATTGTTTAAGATAAATAGGATTAAAGAACTGGGACAAAAGAATTGCCAATAGCTCTCTTAAACTGTCAAATATACATTGTCTTAATGAAGAATGCATTTTGCAGCAGCACTAAGTATGATACAAAGTATACTAGCAAAAAGAAACTCAACTAATTTGAGAAAATTAGATACTAAAGTTAATACTTAACCACAATTTAAAGCAGTACAAATGCATATTCAAAGTAAGTGTTATAGCTTACATGTGCTATCACATTTAATAAAGGGAGGGCTTTGCTATTTATTATTAAATATTTTATTTGCTACTTTGTGTCACATAGTATGCCAAGAGTTCCAAACATGACCAAATACTTAAGTATAATGTGTGTCTTTTTGTGCTAAACTGTGAGGTCCTCAAATCAGAGACCTTGATTTGAGGACCTCACAGTTTAGTAGGAAAGGACAAATGTTACACTTAAGCATTCAACAAAAATGTACAGAGCATGTAATATATGTGCCTGGCATTCTTGTATGCATTGGGAACACAAAAACAAATAAGATATGACATAGAGAAAGGAACATCATTTCCCCTTGGGTAAGTACAAGAAAACTTCCAAAGATACCTGAGCTGGATCTTGAAAGCTGAGTCAAAATCTGCAAGATCAGTGGAAGAAAGAGCATAAAGGAAAGAAAAGTATTTCAGGAAGTAGTAGCAGCGTCTGTTAAGTCACAGAGGTTTGGAAAAGCCCAGTGCATTTACGGCTCTCTAAATAATGTACTGTATGTAGTTAGCTTGTAGACTATATGTGCAAACAGGAAAGAATATGGAATTGGTGGGAGAGATAACAGCCAAATCATACAGAATCTTTTATGGTATTAAAGGTTTATAGTATCGTATGGGTTTAAGTATGGAAGCAACATGATCAGATTATATATTAGAAAAATGGCTAACTGTGGTGGGAGAGAAAAAAAGCAAGTAGTCTAGTTGGAAAACTCAGGGCTTGAACTAAGGCAGGAAATCTGGGGATGGAGAAAAGGTGAGATTGCCTAACACAATGGGAATGGTTAGGAGGGTAGGATTCTAGAGACATTTTGGAAGTTAAATTTTAAAAAACAAAACAAAACCTAAGTGACTAATTAAATACGGGGGTTGAGGAGAGGTGAAAGTGTAAAATAACGTCAAAACATCTGTTTTACAGAATTAATAATTCAGTATTGTCTTTGGGTTTTTTCCCCATTTTTATTTAAATTTCAGTTAGTTAACAAAGAGTGTAATAATAGTTTCAGGTGTAGAATTCAGTGATTTGTTACTTACATACAACACCTGGTGCTCATCATAACACGTACCCTCCTTAATCCCCTTCCCCTCTTTAACCCATGCTCCACCTACCTTCCCTCCAGCAGTCAGTTCTCTATAGTTAAGAGTCTTTCTCAGTTTGCCTCTCTCTCTCTCTCTCTTTTTTTCCATTATTATGTGTTTGTGAAGGAGCAAGATTCTATTGCATGTTCTCATTTTCTTCACTGAATTAGTCAATGGTTACTCAGTCATTCTGTATTTTTCTTACTAATCTGAAACCTAAGAGAATTTTTTAAATTTCTTTTCTAAAAAGATAATTATAGGTTTTTTTCAGATTATGAAGGTATATGCTCATTATGTAAAAATTAATATAATACAAAGCGATGTAAAAGCTGTTATATCTTCCAAAGGAAAATAAACAACTGAAATTCCATCATCAAGGGTTAACTACCAGTACCATCTTTTTTCTGTGTACTCTTAACCTTTAAATACAGATACGTATGTAGATAAGTTTTCTATAAATGGGATAATAATATGCCTGCTATTTTATAGCCTACTTTCGTCGTTTGACCATCTATATTACACACATTATCTCATGTCAAATATGAATGCATATCATAATTTGTAATTACTGTGTAGTATTCCATTGTGTGGATGTACCATCAGTTTTCTGTTATTAGGCATTTTGATTTCATTTTTTATTTCTAAATAGTACTCCCATTAATATTCTTGTGCTTACATCTTTGTGCACATTTCTGATTATTTCTCAGAATAAATTTCCCATAGTAGAAATCCTGGGGGTGCCTGGGTGGCTCAGTTGGTTAAGCGTCTGCCTTTGGCTCTGGTCACCATCTCAGGTCCTGGGATTGAGCCCCGCATTGGGCTTCCTGCTCAGTGGGCAGTCTCCCTCTCCCTTTCCCTTTGCCTGTTCTTCCCCCTGTTGGTTCTCTCTCTCTCTCTCTCAAATAAATAAAATCTTGAAAAGAAAGAAAGAAATCCTGGGTCAGAGATATATATGCTTCAGATTTTGATACATACTTTCATATTATTACACCAGTTTATATTCCCATCCAGACTACTGGGTATAAATGCCATCTCTCTCTTTTCTATATCTGGGATTTTCCTCTTCTGTAAAATGGAGAATCTAAATATTTTTCTTTTAAAGTTACCATAATTTAGTGAGACAATGAATATGTTTGGCCCAATGTTTGGCACTTAATGAGTGCTTAATAAATGCCAGCTATTACTTTTAATAACATATGAAATATCTGTTTCCCCAAAACCTTGCCAATAACTGGGTAATATCATTTTTTCTAATCTTTGCTAACGTGATGGGAAAAAATGATACATTTTAATTTGAAATTTGGGGATGTTGAACATCTTTTCCTACATTTATCAGATTTTGTGTCTCCTCTTTTGAATTGCTGTGCATTTTTCATGCTTTTAAAATTTGCTCTTTTATTAGAGGATTTTTTTGTTTATTGGGAATGTTGATTTTATCCTAATTTGCAAGCATTTCCCTGCATTTTGTCATTTTCGGTTTAAACTTGTTTTTGACCTTTTAACCCTATAGATGTAAAAAATATAGATTGCCAACTCCATCGTTTGTTTGGTTTATGATTTTTGGCTTTCCCCACCCTAAAATTACCAAAATATTTGTATATAATTTTTTTACTTATATTTCTCACATTAAAAATGTTTCCTGTTTCTGGAATTTATTGTTTTATAAGATGAGATACAGTTGTGTTTTATTTCCAGATAGTTAGCTAGGTGCCCCATCCCTTTCACTGGTTTGAAATGCCTCTTATATACTAAATTTCTGTATACACTTAAACTGCTTTTTTAAGATTTTAATAATTTATTTGACAGAGAGAGAGAGTGGGGGGGAGGGTGCGCACAAACAGGGGCAGAGGGAGAAGGAGAAATAGGCTCCCCGCTGAGCAGAGAGCCCAACGATGCGGGGCTCCATCCCAGGACCCTGGGATCATGACTTGAACCCAAGGCAGACACTTAACCGACGGCACCACACAGGCGCCCGACACTTGAACTATTTCTAAACTATTCTGTTCAATCAGACCTTTATAATTTTTAATATCATATAAAGCAGATTTCCTTCATTTACTTTTCTTTTTTAATATTCTTTCTTGCATGTTTATTCTCCTAGAGAAACTTTGGAATCATTTTGTAAAGTTCTCACCTGGAGATTTTGATTGAGGTTTTCAGATTTTTTGAAGCAAATAGTAAATCTTGAATATACTTTTAAAACCTCATGATCACAATTACGTCATTTGAGCCTATTACTCAGTAAAGACATTTACATTTTTTTAATGTGGTGCCTGGTACAATCCTGTATAAATGGGGGTTTTGTCAATACGTTTTTATGCTGTTCATTGATTCAAAGGCCAAAACTTTTTCAGTCCCCAAACTCAGGCATGCTATTTTCTCAATAAGAGAAAAATGTATCGTTTCTGTACATATGGTAAAACTTGAAGTGTTTCAGAGATGGCTCTCATAAGGTTTATACAAGAAAAGTTCATTATGTTTTTATGTCTGAAAATTCAAAATACTTTAGTTAGTATGTAAGACACACTACTCAAATTCTTTAATTACAATTAAATAGTATAACTATTAAGTTGTACCCACTTCATTTCCTTGTTAGTGTATATTTGTTTCAGTAGTGTTCCCCCTACTTGCTCACAAACATTTAAATAAAGGAAAGATCAATGAGAGCCAGAGCCATGAAAGTCTTTTTATAAAAGTAGACACCTGTTAGCCAAAGTTTAAGAAATTTTTAATCCACATGTCAAAAACAAGAAATCTGTTTTCAAAATTTCCTAAATTTCTTGGCATAATCTAAGCTTTCTAAATTAATATGAACAAATCAGTGACTCTCAGTGAAACCAAATATACACTAAGGCTTTAAATCACTTGTAAAATCTTTTAATGACCATGTACAAAGAGCCTTTTAAATAGCCATTATGTTACCCATTTATACGGGAAATTGAGGCATTAAGAAGTTGATGTCAAGGGGTGCCTGGGTGGCTCAGTCGTTAAGCATCTGCCTTCAGCTCAGGTCATGATCCCAGGGTCCTGGGATCAAGTCCCACGTCGGGCTCGCTGCTCCACGGGCAGCCTGTTCTCCCTCTCCCACTCCCCCTGCTTATGTTCCCTCTCTGGCTGTGTCTCTCTCTGTCAAATAAAATCTTTTTTATTTTTTTAAGATTTTTTATTTATTTATTTTGACATTTCCCATTTGGTATTTTAATAAGTAGATAATTTCCTGACAGTAAATTTGATCAAGCCATTGGTGCATTATATAGCCATATATGTCTCCATCTTACCAATTTCTCCTGTTCATTTTTTCTTTACTTTCTTTATTCAACTGTGATTATTTTCTCAGTTTTTATATAATAAGAATGCCCCCATATCCTGCTTTTTATCAGCTGTTCTCCCAGCTGCTTAAATATCCGTGGTAGGGCGCCTGGGTGGCTCAGATGGTTAAGCGTCTGCCTTTGGCTCAGGTCATGATCCCAGAGTCCTGGGATCGAGTTCCGCATCGGGCTCCCTGTTCCTTGGGAGCCTGCTTCTCCCTCTGCCTCTCTCTCTCTCTCTGTGTCTCTCATGAATAAATAAATAAAATCTTAAAAAAAAAAAAAATCCATGGTAGATTATAGTAACAATTTTGATCATTTTTTCTTTATTTCTTAGATTCCTGAATTTGATAACTTGTACCTGGATATGAATGGAATCATACATCAATGTTCCCATCCTAATGATGATGATGTTCACTTCAGAATTTCAGATGATAAAATCTTTACTGATATTTTTCACTACTTGGAGGTGTTGTTTCGCATTATTAAACCTAGGAAAGTGTTCTTTATGGCTGTTGATGGTGTGGCTCCTCGAGCAAAAATGAACCAGCAGCGGGGGAGGCGTTTTAGGTAAAACATTTGTGGTTTATTTTAAAATACTACTTAGACTAATAAAATGTATTATTTTAAAGATAACTGACTTAGTACACTGAATCTTCTGTTCATGTTTCTTTTCTGCTTAAATTCCCCCAGAAACGGAAATAACTGATTATGTCACATTTTATCAATCAAGTAAACAAATTAGTAATTCAAGTGAGGTGTCCTTCTCAAAGCATATGTTGGGCTGTGTAGTTACTGTTGTTCTCTGTCATAAATTTTTCAAACTTCTCCTTGGTAATTTAGAAAAAGCGGTACAGTTGACCCTTGAACAATGCAGTGGTAAGTGGTGCCAGTCCCCACACAGTCAAAAATTCACATATAACTCAACTCCCCAAAATCTTAACTAATAGTCTACTGTTGACTGGAAGCCTTAGCAATAACATAAACAATAAACATGTACTTTTTATGTTGTATGTATTATATACCATATTATGGTAAGCTTAGAGAAAAGAAAATGTTATTAGAAAATAGATTTACAGTACTATACTGTATTTATTGAAAAAAATCCATGTACAAGTGGACCCATTCAGTTCAAACTTGTGTTGTTCAAGGGTCAGCTGTAGTAGAGAAAGCTCCTCTCATAGTCTGTCCTGAACTAGAGAACTACGGGGTGCAATGAGAGATTGTTCTAATGGAAACATAGACAGTTTAATTCAACAAACATTTGTTGAATGCCCAGACCCTGGGCTAGATAGATGCTGACTTTGACTGATTATGGGTCCAAATTGGACAGAAAGGCAAGTGAGACTAGCAGGTGATTGATGGAGTATGAGAAGACAGCTGAGTTAGGACACTTGAGATACTATCATCCACAGTGTGTGAGTTCGATAGGAAAAGTAACAGGATGAGAAGAGGCACGTAGAGTTTTAAAGTGAAAATCCTGAGCATGTGAAATAGTTTAAAAAAACAATGAGATCAAAAACTAATGATGTAATATATGGCGGTTAACATAACAATAAAAAATTATTAAAAAAAATAAAAAAACAATGAGGTCATGCTGTGACCCTTATTTATGAGTAGGATAAGTAAAGTTAAGAGGGTTGTTAGAATTGATGGGAAGACTCTGAGTCCAGTGTGTTTGATGTGTTGTTAGCATAATGAATCCTTTCATCACAACAGCAGGTAAAGGAATGGAAAGGGCACCTGTGAATCAAATAGTGGAAATCATCAAGGAAGGTGGGAGGGTACCTTAGAGAAGGCTAGCAATGAGAATGTGAAAAGGATGGTAAAAAGTAGTGATTTAAATACCAAAAGAGAAAAGATATTGGAGATATTCCAACAACTGTGACATCTTTAAAGACAAGGACCATCTCTTCTAAAATTTAGATCCTCAAGTACCACCCAAACTTAATTAATTTGAATCTCAAGAATTGGGTCCTGGAAACTGTTTTTTACCAGATTTCCCTGGTATGTGTTAAACTACTTTGGGGGGACTGCTGGGCTAGAAAATCTAGTGTTAAGAAAGGATTATATAAGCCCACTATATCAGTCACTGTTCAGTTGCAGAAATAGAAGCCTGCCTATTTTAAGCAGAAGGGGATATATTACAAAGAATTAGGTGCTTATAAAAATCATTGTAAGAGGGGCGCCTGGGTAGCTCAGTCATTAAGTGTCTGCCTTCAGCTCAGGTCACAATCCCAGGATTCTGGGATCGAGCCCCACATCGGGCTCCCTGCTCCGGGAAGCCAGCTTCTCCCTCTCCCACTCCCCCTGCTTGTGTTTCCTCTCTCGCTGTGTCTGTCAAATAAATAAATAAAATCTTTAAAAAAAGAATCATTGTAAGAGCCAGAAGGATGGGAATTTAGGTGAGCCTTCAAGAATGACTTCAGAACAGCACCACAGAACTGACCCACCAGTGGCACGATTACTACAACATTCAAGAAGGTGAGGAGTTCAGAGGCCCCCACCAGAACAGGTTGTTCCAGGAATTTATTCCTTTAGTTATGATCCAGGAATTAAGAAGATACTACCTGAACTATTGGTTCCAAAAATACATCGCTTTAGTTATAATTCAGCAATCAAGAAGCCACCACGGTATCTGTTAGCTCCAGAGCCCCAGTGTACCTGGTAGATCTGCCCTACACTTTGCTTCTTAGCACCTACAAAACTACTGAATATTGAGAGCTCTTCTACTATTGATGAAACACACACACACACCCCACAAACCCTCTGCCTTAACAGTCATACAGATTTCACCACACTTCCACTTTCCAAACCTTTTGTGGAGGCATCTAACTGACAGAATCTAAGTTATATCCACTCACCTAGCTGCAAGGAAGCCCGAGATTTTAATTTTTTAGGTTTCTAACCTCTCCAGTATCAGAAGACAACCTAAGAGAATGAAATAGATCTTGAGTGCTCCATGTTTCCCTGAAATCCTCTACTCAGCTTTTTCTCATTCTCCACAGATACTATTTTCTCCATTCATAATCTTTAATTATAACCTCCTGTATCTCTTACTTTAAATCTGCTGCCATCTGGCTTTCATCCCTACCATTAAAACCTCCTTACAAGATTACAAATAGACTCCTTATGACTAAATCTAAAGAATAATTCTCTCTATATGTTAACTTCATTTACCTCTAGTATTTAACAATGTGATGATTCTTTCTTTCTTGAACTTCCTTTCCTTGATCTTTATGTAACCACACTCTCTGACTGCACCTTCTTGATCTCCTTCTTATCTTCTCTTCCTTTGCCTTTTTCTTATATATTGATTTTTCTTAAGGTTCTATCCTTGGTCCTGAGTGATCTTATTCAGTGATTTTAATTACCGTGTCTATACTGATGACTCCCAAATTTATCTTCCTGGTGGATATCTCTCTCCAGAACCCCTATATAGCCAAATGTCTCCTAAATATCTCCTTTTGGATACCACAGATACATTTCCAGGTTTAACATGTTCAGAACTGAAGTCCACTTCAAAGCTGCCTTCCTTCTGTTTCCTATTTCGGTGAATGATAACAACAATAGCAAATAGCTGCTCAACCCAAGAGTCCAAGAGTAATTTGGACTATTTCTTCCTCATTCTCCACACCCAATCCTTATCCAGTCTCTTAAATTTGTCATATATATTTACTTTCCATCTTTACTGCTACTGGTCAGCCTAGGCTACCATAATCTTCCACCTAGATTAATAGTCTTTCCTTGTCCCTGCCCCAGACATTCTCTGTGTTGCAGCTACATTAAACATTGGCTGTTAAGTTCTCTGTCTCCCCACTAGAGTGTAAGGTCTGTGAAAATGGGAATCATTGCTGTTATAGTCCCAAAACTTGTCACATAGTAACATTGAATTTGTTCAATCGAAGGAAGGAGAGAAGAGAAGAAAGAATGGCTTCTATTGGAGAAATTACAAATAAGTTAGTATCTTCAGATTTTGTTATATTGAGGAGGTTGGTAAGAGGTTACGTACGAAAAAAAGTTTGGTAAAAGGTTACATATGAAAAAGTTTATTTATCATAGAAATAAAATTCCACAGGGCACAGTAGATAGAGCTAGTAGCAAGGCTGTAGAAAATGCACATAAAGCAGAGCTTCCTAACTTACATGCCAGTGGCATACAGCGTGCCAGATTCCAGGAGAAGCAGAACAGGAATTGGGATGCCTATATTCAGACCTAGGTCCGTCTGACTCTAAAACTCATGTTCTTTCTAGTAAATCCTATTGCCTCAAACGAGATGATTTTGGCAAATGATGTCATTAATGTTATTAGGCTTATATTTTAAATTTTTTGTAAGGAAACCCAAAGATATCTATTAAAATTGTACAGTTATTTTTATATAATATTCTTAGATCATTTTAGATCATTTTAATAATGTATTTGTTTGATGTTACTATTAAATATAGAATGTAGTATATATAATGAATGTTTAATGTTCAACTTTTGAGCTTGTTTGTAGAATCGATTTGCTATATACTTATGATAAAAGAATTGCTTTATAACTATTTATAACATTCTGTGTTGGTTTTATACTGTTATAATGTCTACTTCTATAGTCCTTTCTCTGAAAAACTCAATTTTTTAAATAAGTAAAAATGAACAATTCTGAGGCTCATCTTTATCAATTATAATCATTTCAAAACTTGTATTATGTTTTGAACATAAAATTGATTAATTAGTATTTTAGTTACAGAAGCATCTAAATAACAGTTTACTTTATGTAAAGATCTGTACTTTTTCCCAGAAACCTTAAGATATTTTTTTACTTAACATTTAAGGTCAGCAAAGGAGGCAGAAGACAAAATAAAAAAGGCATTAGAAAAAGGAGAAACTCTTCCTACAGAGGCCAGATTCGATTCCAACTGTATTACACCAGGTAAATTCACTGAAAGAAAAATTCTGAGAGATTGATATTTTTTTTAATAATTTTATTTATTTGACAGAGAGGGAGCATGAGTGGGGGGTGGGGGGGTGGCACAGAAGGAGAGGGAGAAGCAGGCTCCCTCCTCAGGATGGAGCCCGACATGGGTCTCAATCCCAGGACCTCAGGGATCATGACCTGAGCATAAGGCAGACAACTAACCTACTGAGCCACCCAGGCGCCCCAAATTATGAGAGATTTAAATGTAAATGTAAATTTTTTTTTTCAAATGCATTTTTTTTTTTTCTAGCCTCTACTTATTTTGTCCTTAAAATTCCAAATGCTGTTTTCCCAGTTGTGTCCCCTCAGGAGATGTTTTGGTCACCTTGATTATAAGTGCTCCTTTGAAGACCCACTCCAGGGATTTACAGATGTCGATAAGAGCAGTTGTGTACAGAACTCTCCCAGATGCACAGAACTTCAAACCTAGAAGGATCTTACAAGATCCATCCTACTCCCACCATTTATTTGTATGAAAACTGACCCGGTGAGGTTGTGGCTCACCCACGTTCATATAGCTAGCTGTTGTAATCAGGATAAGAAACCCATTCTCCTAGTTTAGAGCACTTACTATTGTACTTCTTAAAGGCAGTTAAAAATTCTATGACTTTAATGAATTTATCAGTATTATAAGTTTAATTTAACTTTGTATGCAACAACATACTCTGTACTTATTAGAGCTTTGTCTAACAATTACAATCCTTTACTTTGAAAAAAAATTTTTAATTCTTATTTATTCATGAATTCTTTACTGTGGTAATTTGTGTTTCATTTAAGTGCCTTTATCATACATTGCTTGATTTAATAATCAATTTTATCCTAATTGTGGTTTAAGACTGCATTGCCATTGACTCTTGACCATCTGGACTTTTCCTGAAACATAATCACTGTAGACTCAGTTTCTAGGATAATAATAATAATTTTCCAGATAAATAGTAATAATAATAGTGTTTGTTATTAGCAATCTAATTAAAGCTGCATGCCTTAAAAAAAAGATTCAGAATCCAACAGAGGAAATAGAAGATTTAGTTTCTTTTTTTTTAAAGATTTTTTTTATTTGACACAGTGAGAGCGAGAGAGGGAACACAAGCAGGGGGAGTGGGAGAGGGAGAAGCAGGCTTCCTACAGAGCAGGGAGCCCAATGCGGGGCTCCATCCCAGGACCCTAGAATCATGACCTGAGCCGAAAGCAGACACTTAACAGCTGAGCCACCCAGGCACCCCAAAGGTTGAGTTTCATTAGAGAGTTGAAACTGCTCTGGTGTGAAAATATGTGAAGCATAGTTTGAGGCAGTAGTAACATTTCTTGACTTACCTATGTAACATTAGCTTGATTTTAGGGTGAGCAGCGAAATGAGAAACAGTTGTAATATTTGCTAGAGAAAGGTACAAAATTATTTGCTTTTCAAGATAAGCATGAGGGGTTTGACTTCTTTAGAGATCTTACACCTAACTATTCCTGGACACACAGATCCAATTTCGTGTTGTCCCTGGGAACATAAAAAGAGTGCTTTTTATGTCTCTCTCAGATTATAAACTTTTTGAAACTTTTTATTTATAGGGACTGAATTCATGGCCCGGTTACATGAACATCTGAAGTATTTTGTAAATATGAAAATTTCTACAGATAAGTCGTGGCAAGGAGTTACCATCTACTTCTCAGGCCATGAGGTTATTATCTTTTTTTATTCAAAGAGATTTTTTAAAATTTAATATTCTAAAGCATAGCATTATTACCACATTTTTTTAAAACATATATTTAGACTCCCGGAGAAGGAGAGCATAAAATCATGGAATTTATCAGATCGGAGAAAGCAAAGCCAGATCATGATCCAAACACCAGACATTGTCTTTATGGTTTAGATGCTGACTTGGTAGGTATAATGTTTATTATTATTATAACCTTATGCCATTATAGTTAAATATCTAAGAGACTTATATAAGAAGCTTTCTGGCTGTGGAAACAAATATTGGAGACATAATAAGGTTGCTACTTCGGCCATTAGTGAGGTTCTTAAACAATTGGAAAATGAACTCTTTTGATACAGTTTATGATCAACAGGTCTCTGTAGTCTTCATACTTGACTGATCCTAGTGCTATGAATACTCTGCTGAGATCAGGGTAGAGGGCGTTTTTTACCCTCATGCTTGATATATCACTTTTAATAATACCTGATCTGATAACTCCATGACCCAAATAACTTTACTATGCTTTTTTTGTTTTAACTTTTTATTATGGAAATTTTCAAACATAAAGTAGAGAAGACAATATAATAAACCTTCCTATGTCCTTTATCCACCTGAAATAATTTTCAACTTTAAATAATCCACCTTAATTATTCAATAATTTTCATTTTCTTATTCCTAACCATCTGTCTCCATTCTCCTACTCCTCTGACTCTTGAAGTATATCCCAGACATTGTATCACTTAATCTATAAATATTTTATAATGTTTCTTTAAAGGAGAAGCATTGTTTTAAAAGATAACCATAATGCCATTATCCTACATAAAATAAAAATTATCACTGTTTAATATACAAATAACCATTTAGTATTCTCATTTCTCTGATTGCTTCATAAATGTTTCATCTTGTTTTGTTTGAATCAGGATTGAAATAAAATAAACAGTGATTGTTATAAAGGTCATGTGAGTCTAAGGTAAACATTTTTTCTTAGAAAAACACACTTCACCCCATTCATAACCAATAAGTGGATCAGATTTTGATATTTGTATATTTAATGTGCTAATAAATTATTTTTATTAAATAAGCATGTGTTTTTCTATATAGAAATGTTTTTTATTTAGAGTTTTCTATGAACCTGATACTATAAAAAATTAGAGAATAGAGACATTTTTTAATCATTTTTCAACAGATTATGCTTGGATTAACAAGTCACGAGGCACATTTCTCTCTTTTAAGAGAAGAGGTTCGGTTTGGTGGCAAAAAGACACAAAGGTAAATCATATTGCATATATGTTAGAAGAAAGAACAGCAGTTAAATTAAGAATAGTAATCATCTAACAGAAAAATGATCTGTAAAGATTTTTTCCCATTCCATCATTGCCTTTTTACTCTGCTAAAATTTGATGCACAAAATTTGTTTAATTATGACAATGTCCGGTCTATTTTTTTCTTTTATTGCTGTACTTACAGTATAATATCCAAGAAATTGCCAAATCTAATGTCATAAAGCTTTTCCCAATTTTAGGAGTTTTGTAGTTTTAGTCCATATACTTAGGTCTTTGATCCATGTTATTAATAACCGTATATGGTGTAAGGAAAGGGTCAACTTCATTATTTTGCATGTGAATATCCAGTTTTCCCAAAACTGCTTGTTGAATAGAGTAGCTTTTCCCCATTGAATGGTCTTGGCACCTTGGTCAAAAACTGTTTGACCATGTATGCAAGAGTTTATTTCTAGGCTCTGTATTCTATTCAATTGATCTTTATGTTTGTTTTTATGTCAGTACCACAGTATTTTGGTTACTGAAGCTTTGTAGTAAGTTTTGAAATCAGAAAGGGTGAGACCTCCAACTCTATTCTCCTTTTTCAGGATTATTTTGGCTATTTGGGGTCTCATGAGATTAATAATTTTTAGGATGGATTTTTTTGTTTTTGTGGAAAACATTGGGATTTTGATTGGGATGGCATTGAATATGTAGATTCTTTTGGGTACTATTTACAGCTTGATAATAAGTCTTCCAACCCATTAATACAGAATGTTTTTCCATTCATTATGTCTTTAATTTTTTTCAGCTGCCTTTTGTAGTTTTAGTGTATAAGTCTTTTGTCAGCCGTTTTTTTCTTACTTGTTTTTCCTTTTATTTAAAAAATAATTAATGTAGTCACCATGTTACACATTAATTACATCTCCAGGACTTATGTATCTTATAACTGAAAGTTTCCACCTTTAGGCCACCTTCCCCCATTTGCCCAACGCTCACTCCCCCACCTCTGGGAACCATCTGTCTATTCTCTGCATCTGTAAGTTCAGTTTTTTGTCTCTGGTTTTTTTTTTTTTTTCTTTTGCCTCCTTGGTCAAGTTTATTCCTAAGTGTTTTATTCTTTTGGATGGTATTCTAAATGGAATTGTTTCTTAATTTATTTTTTGGGTTATTTGTTGCTGGTATGTAGAAACACAGCTGATATTTATGTGTTGATCTTGCTTCCTGCAGTTATACTGAATTCATTTTTTGGCTCTAGTAGCTTTTTGTGGATTTTGTGGGATTTTCTGTATATGGAATCATGGCATCTTTAAATAGAGAGAGTTTTCTTCTTTTTTCAATTTGTATACCTCTTATTTCTTTGCTTACCTAATTGCCCTGGCTAGGACTTCAAGTACAACGCTGCTGAATAGCTATAGTGAAAATGGGCATCTTTGTCTTGTTCCTGATCTTAGGTGGAAAACCTTCAGTCTTCTCCCATCAATTATATTAAATGTAGATTTCTCATGAATTCCCTTTTTTATATTAAGGAGGTTCCCTTCTATCCCTACTTGGCTGAGTACTTTTATCATGGAAGGGTATTGAATTTGATAAATGTTTTCTTTGCTAGTTGATTGTATGGTGTTTTTTCCTTTGTTTATTAATGTGATCTATTACGTTGATTTATTTTCTTGTGTTGAGCCGTCCTTGTATTCCCGGGGTAAATCCACTTGCTCATGGTATCTAATCCTTTTAAAATACTACTGTCAGTTTACATTCTTACTTCTGGTTAAACTTGGAGTATTGGCCAATAGCTAGGAATATAGACCCCTAAACCAAGCCAGGGAAAGATAAGAGGAAAGAAGTGATGGTGCCTCACCATTGAAGCCTTAGACTGTACTGCAATAGGCAGAAAAGTATATATACTCACTTATCTGTATGCTTTCTGCTGGTGACCAAACTTAAATGGGCCAGATCCCACTGGTTTCTTTTATGTGTTCTATCTTATTTAGGCTTTCTTAATTCTGAGAATCTTTCCACAGAAAGCATAATGCAGACCAATTATTTTGAACTTTATGTTATATCTATTATACTTTTATCTTTACACTACCCTGCAGCTTTCATATAAATTACATGCCTGGATTACAAGAATTAATTATCATCTAATGATAAGTTTTATTTTAAGCATTGCTACATTTTTAAACTTGAACCTTAAAGATATAATTAATTCTGTGTTATTTGACTAATTACAGGGTATGTGCACCAGAAGAAACCACATTTCACCTCCTACACTTGTCTTTAATGAGAGAGTATATTGACTATGAGTTTTCAGTATTGAAAGTAAGTATTAATATAGCTGTGGACCAAAGATGTGTTAGCAGGAATTTCCATACGATTTGATTTTTTTCTCCATTTTGCTGTAGGACAAGATCACTTTTAAATATGATATTGAAAGGATAATAGATGATTGGATTTTGATGGGATTTCTTGTTGGCAATGATTTTATCCCTCATCTACCTCATTTACATATTAATCATGATGCACTGCCTCTTCTTTATGGAACATATATAACCATCCTGCCAGAACTTGGTGGTAAGAGAAGTTTAATATTCATTGGAGACTACTTTAATTTAGCACTCAGCTAACCCTAAAAATTTCACTCAGTTTATTAGATTATTGCGTGCACAACTACAGTAGGGAAAAAATTGGGGGTTTCTTTTGGTCTAAGGTACCAAGCTCTGGGGTTGTAATTTTCAGTGATTCGCAAGCAAAGAAAATGACAAGAGTTAAGCAGCCTCATTTATTGATATCTGACTAATCTCTGCCTTTGATTGTTTAAGAAAGCCAGCAGAAGTTGTTGATTTCACTTAGCTCCTTTCATATTAAAGCATAGAAGTTCATTTTCTGAATGGGTAGGTATCAGAATATTTAATAGGGAAAGATTTTTCAATTGAGAAATTGATAAACAGTGGTGAATGCTGAATAAAACAGACAGCAGAATAGCAGGGCATTAGTTCTTCTCAAGTTAACATATTAAATGAATAATCTGGATAGATTTTAGAACATATTTAATTAACTATTACCAGATGTTGGAAATGTGGTAGGATTATTATGTGAACCTGGAATTTCTTTTATTTTGCTTTAGTTGTTACGTATTTTATATTATCATAACACCAAGTTCATAGACACTAGAGTCAGTTATATAGCCCAACTCTGAGTATTTTTTCTTGGTTAGTAGAGCGCCAACATTCAACATTTTGTCAAAAAGAATTTTGTAGAATTGTTTAGAAAAAATAGTGTCCGCTTTTAGTACAAATTTAGATTTTGTTCCTTTTAGGTTATATTAATGAAAGTGGGCATCTCAACTTACCTAGATTTGAGAAATACCTTGTGAAACTATCAGATGTAAGTAACTAGATATTTTTATTTTCTTGTCCCAGCGTAGCTATAAATGGTCAGAAGCCAATTACATAATGTCAGAAGAAAAAGTTTTGGTACTTCCACTCCAATTGATCATCTGTGTAATTTCACCTAAATTTATTTTTATTTGCTTTTTATTTTTAATTTTCAGACTAGTAGATGAGGTCCCCATGTGCATAAAAAAGTAACATTCTTTGATTTCCTATGCCCCAGAAGTGGCTCAGTCGTTAAGTGTCTGCCTTCGACTCAGGTCGTAATCCCAGGGTCCTGGGATCGAGCCCCACATCGGGCTCCCTGCTCGGCGGGAAGCCTGCTTCTCCCTCTCCCACTCCCCCTGCTTGTGTTCCCTCTCTCACTGTGTCTCCCTCTGTCAAATAAATAAATAAAATCTTTAAAAGAAAACCCTAGCAGATATATCACAATATACCATTTAAAAAAAAAAAAACTGTTAAAAGTTTGGTTTGTATTCTCCCAGACATACTTAATTATTTTTAAATGAATTTAAATATATTTGTACAGTTTGATCGGGAACACTTCAGTGAAGTTTTTGTGGACCTAAAGTGGTTTGAAAGCAAAGTTGGTAACAAGTACCTCAATGAAGCAGCAGGTGTTGCAGCAGAAGAAGCCAAGACCTACAAGGAAAAGAAAAAATCAAAGGTGTCCATTTTTTTAGGTGTCCTTTCATATTTTTAGCTGTAAAGGTAAAACTGATATTCCTTGTTCCTCATTTTCCTTCTTATGATTTTTAGGGTTGCCTCATTTCATTTTCATTTCTTATTTTCTCCTATTGAACATTTAAAAATTTTTTTTGGTTTCTTCTCTGTTAGATCTTATCATTTAAATCTGATCTTTAAAAATCAACTTCTTATTTTTACCTTTGAAGAACATTGTGTTTTCTTTGTTCATCCTATTAATAAGTGTAGAAAAACTTCTAAATATAAGAGCCCAGAAAATTAGTTATCTTTTGTAAAATGTGGATATTTATAGCATTTAATAGTGAGACATCAACTAGATCAGTGATTTTTCCCTAGAAGTAATTCATATATAAAATCATATATAAAAAACAGCAATAGGCTAGTTTAAGAGTAAATAATAGCACAATAGCCAATAAATGCTAGGTGCTCAATAAATAAATAATAGAATCAGAATACGCTAATACCCTATAAAACATCACTAATAAGCTCTAAAGAATGTCTTATATGTGTTAGCTTGGAAAAGAAACCTCTTCTGAAATTTTCCTCAACCTATTCGTAGTTACTGGGTTCTGATAAAATTAAGGAGTTTCCTGCACTCTTCTTGCTATACTGGTTCTATTTAGGTTCAAGTCTAGTAATTGTTGCTCCAGGAAGGGTATTTATCCTGATTTTTCTAGTGTAATGCTTCTAATTGATTTTATTTTTCTCAGTGAAACTTAGGAGCAGTCAGTTTGCTTTCCACTCTGTTTTTTCTCTTAAGAAAATAGTCTCAGCAACTTTTTGGGAATCTGTACTTGACTCACAAAACTTGCACATCAGTAATCCCTGGCTCCACGCATTTCAGCCCAGTCCTTAAGCTTCACAAGTCTTCAGGCATGTGTAGTTACTGTTAAAGACACTGGCAAAGTGAGAGGAACTAGAGGAAGAGCCCACGCAAAGGAAGTCAGCAGAGGCCGTAGTTTGGATGAACAAAGGGAAATGGGAATAAGGGAGTAAGAAGAACTAATGAGAATCACTGGCAGTAGATAGGCAATCAGAAAATAGAGGAGAGAAAAGTTGAGATCACAAGGGGGGAAAAGCAGATGGGCAAGATATGAAGAATGTGATGAGATGTGAGAACTATAGAAAAGCAAATGAGTTGCATGAGAGAAAAATTTAGAAGTGGGGAATAGAAAACAGAGTTATAAGAATGATGGAATCCAAAGATACAGAAAACATGTAATATTTGTAATCATTGGATTCAATTATAAACAAATAGATTATGTTAACACAATAGGTGAGAATTACCTATTACATATTTTTGAGAGGCCTGAATAATAAAGATTTAGAAAACAAGTGATATAAAACCAAAACATTTACATAGTATTTGAGGATTATTTTTTGAATGAACTTTCACTTAAGGATCATTCAGTGCTTTTTACTGTTTTTTAAATCTCCCTATTCAATTATCTTACTTTGAAATACATCTTGCCATTAATTTTATATTGATTTATAATTTTTGTAGGGCCAGGAAAATGCCATTTGTTGGGCTGCTTTAGACAAAAATGGAGAAGTGGTAACTTCTAAGGGTGAGTACAAACTCTGTATTCACTATGTTATTTTTTTGACAAGATAATTATTGTATCATTCCTTAGTAAGTACTAATTAATAATATTGGATGGAACAGATTCCTGTGTTAGTTTGTAAGCAGCTGCTTTGATATATATTTATCAAAACTTAGGTGGAAAAACAGAATATTTATAATTTTCAGCCACTATCTTTTGGCTTTTTTTCCAGATAATTTAGAAGATGAGACTGAAGATGATGACCTATTTGAAACTGAGTTTAGACAATATAAAAGAACATACTACATGACGAAGATGGGAGTTGATGTAGTGTCTGAGTACGTTTTTACCAATGCTTTTACTTTAAAATAGAAAAAATTAGATTTTGCAGTTCTTCAAAAAACAGCATAATTTTGATAGTTAAGGTAGTGGGCAAGGAGAATTTTTTGGTTACATAAATTATTGTAGTGTCAATCTTTCAACGGCTGTGGTTTTGGAGAAGGTGATAACTGACATGTGTTATATTCCTGTGGTAAAAAGTTAGCAAGTAGAAAATGGTTAGTTTTTTTTTCCTTCCGTTTTCTGAATTCACATCAAACTCATCTCAAAGGCTACCTGGCTTAAAAAAGAAAAGAAAAAAAAAAAGGCTACCTGGCTTAGCCCCAAGTTAATGCCTAGCCCAAAAGTTCCTTAAGAACTTGACCTCTAGAATGGTAACTTTCACACTTTTAAACTGCAGCCCACAGTATGAACTACATATGTTTGTATTTTATTTAATTGACAAAATCTTATAAAGTGCTTACCAAGTACCAAGTGCTAGTCTAAGCAATTTTAAAATATTGACTGACTTAATTCTCACAACAGTTCTTTAAGATAAATAAATTACTATTTTATAATAGAAGAAATTAAGGAATGGAGAGGCTTTTTTTTTTTAGGTAGATTCTTTTTTTTTTTTTTTTAAGATTTTATTTTTAAGTAATCTCTACACCCAGTGTGGGGCCCGAACTTACAACCCCAAGGTCAGGAGTCACATGCTTTACCAACTGAGCCAACCAGGATTTGAGAGGCTTAAGTGACTTACCAAGGTGACATAGTCAGTGAGTGGCAGAGCCAGAATTTGAACATAGGCAATCTGGCTCCAGAGTTAATACTCTCTTTCTCTCTCTGTCTCTCTTCTCTCTTTTTTAAGTAATCTCTACACCCAACATGGATGTAGAACTCACAACCTCAAGATCAAGAATCACATGCTCTACTGACTGAGTCAGCTTAGGTGCCCCCAGTTAATACCCTTTTTTTTTTTTTTTTCAGATTTCATCTATTTGTGAGGGAAAGAGAGAGTGAGCATGTACAAGCAGGGGGAGCAGCAGGCAGGAGGGAGAGGCAGGTTCCCCGCTGAGCAAGAAGCCCAGTGTGGGACCCAATCCCAGGACTCTGGGATCATGACCTGAGCCGAAGGCAGACGCTTAACCGACTAAGCCTCCCAGGCGTGCCCCAGTTAATACTCTTAACCACTGGATGAGACTGCTTCTCTATAAGTGAGATAAGAGTTTCATGAAATGCTATGTACCCTTTTACATACTTAGATATTATACTTACATATTTTCTATACTATTCTTATCTTTCTTTTTTAATATAATAAAACACTAAATATTAGATCTTTTCTAGAGCCTGCCCAGAGATAGACCCAAGCTTTTGGACATTGCTTTATATACTCTCAGACTGTCTTCTAGTCTAGTCTAGACATAGTATTTCTGGTCTATATTCATACTGACCTCCAGGAACTACAGGTACAGGAATTCTAGTACAATTCACCAGCTCATTTGAAGCTTTGTCAAGTACCACTAGCATGTAAGACTTCTGAGACTTGAGAAATCTCGCTGTGTCTCTGTCAAATGAATAAATAAAATCTTTAAAAAATAAGTAAAATAGTTATGCTTTTAATCTTTTATTCCTTAATCCTTATATTTCCTTGACTGCAGTTATATAGCGCTGTAATACCTGCTTTTGGCAGTACATTCTTAATTTGAGAGCTAACAAATCTTGTGTTTTATTTCCCTTCCCTTTTATATATTAAAATATAGACTTATGAAAATATGATACCATTTGTTTGCCTAACAAATAAGCAAATCTTTTAAAATCGTTATGTTCAATGTCAGTCCAGAAGTGATGGTAGTATTCTTTCCTAATTACTGGTGGAAATAGAAATTGGTAAAATTGGGCGCCTGGGTGGCTCAGTTGGTTAAGCGACTGCCTTCGGCTCAGGTCATGATCCTGGAGTCCCGGGATCGAGTCCCGCATCGGGCTCCCTGCTCAGCGGGGAGTCTGCTTCTCCCTCTGACCCTTTTCCCTTTCCCTCTTGTGCTCTCTATCTTTCATTCTCTCTCTCTCAAATAAATAAATAAAATCTTTAAAAAAAAAAAATTGGTAAAATTATTTTGGAAAGTGTGTATCCAGAAGTCTTTAAAATATTTATCCCTTTGACTCAGTAATTCTAATTATTAATCTGTCTTAAAAATATAAACTGAAACACAGAAGATTCTTATACACAAGGATGTTTATTGCAGAGTTTTTTTATTATAGCACAAAATTAGAAATGACCTACATGTCCTCATAATCATGTCCACTTCCCCTGTATCATAGTCACCATCTTGCCATAACACTGTCCTCAGAATCTGTAGAACTGCTAAACTGGTACGTATAAAAAGTTCGTAACAATTTGGAAAGATACTTATAGTATATTATTAAGCACAGATTTCAAAAGCAGGACACAAAATCATGTATACAGTATACTCTAAGTAATATTAAACACAAAAAACCAACCAATCTGGGCATAGAAAAAAGACCGAAAAGAAATATACCAATATGTAATAGTGATTGCTGTAAGGTGATAAAAATGCTTTTCTTTATTGTCTAGATTTTCAATAATGAGAACATATTTTTTAATGAAAAATTAATGTTTCATTTTCAAAAGTATACCTCCCAGAAATATTGAGATCTGGAATTTCTAAATGCCATCTCTACCTGAATTTTGGTAACAGCCACTAGCAGGTTTATGGCTACTTTTTGGCTTTAGCCCAAGTCTCGTGTGTGGGTGTGTGGGTGTGTGTATATGTATTTTACCTTAAATGTATTTTACCTTAAACGATGGTTTTTGAGAAAGAAAGGATTAGAGGGAATATTGTTCAGTGAATATAGCATTTTTCAAAGTGTGTTCTAGCTGCTCTAACCAGATTCTGTGATCTTCCTCATTTCCTCCTGTGATTTTTCTCAGGCATCCTCCCAGATAAAGTTTCCCATCCCTGTCTCCTATCACACCCTGACTATTTAGGACAGTGGTAGTGCCACTTGATCAAAAGCTTCATTGGCCAAATCCTCAAACTCTAAACCACAGGCATAGTACATTGACTGAATAAATATGCACAGTAGGTTTAAGTATTCTGATGGACGGTTTAGGGAAACTATAAGGCTAACCTTTTAATCTGACAGGATGGAATTTGTTTTAAATAATATTTTGGAATTTTTCTGATTACAATTTTTAGCTTATTCATTGATTATATAAAACATATGTGAGGCAGAGTGTATCAGCAGATCATGCTCTAAAGACAAATGGCCTGTCTTCAAAAATTAACATTATAATGAAAATATTCTTTTCTATTTTCAGCGACTTTCTGGCTGATCAAGCTGCATGTTATGTTCAGGCAATACAGTGGATTTTGCACTATTACTATCACGGAGTTCAGTCTTGGAGCTGGTGAGGAATACAAACAAAAATAAAGTTTTGATTTTTTTTTTTAAATAATGGTTTGTTCTCCTATAATCTCATTTGGGTTCTTTTTTCTCTTTATTTCTATTTATGGTGGCATTTTTAAAAAGATGCATATAGCCAAGTTTAAATGAAATATAGGTAATCTTTTCTTATATGAAAATACTTTTTAAAGACCTTTGTGTAACAGAGATACTTCCAGCCCTAGCAGATGGCCAATAATGAAAGCTCTTTAAATCTAAGGATTTAAGATTCTCTATTATGATGAATCAACTGTGACAGAGTGTTGATAATTATTGGGTCTGAGTGATGGTTATACAGGGTTGTTCGTTATATTCTTTGCTACATTATCGTGTGTTTGAAAAAATTTTTCTCTCAAGAGTGATTATTAAAGAGGGTGCCTGGGTGGCTCAGTTGGTTAAGCGACTGCCTATGGCTCAGGTCATGATCCTGGAGTCCCAGGATTGAGTCCCGCATCGGGCTCCCTGCTCAGTGGGGAGTCTGCTTCTCCCTCTGACCCTACCCCCTTTTGTGCTCTCTCTCTTACTCTGTCTCTCTCAAATAAATAAAATAAAATCTTTAAAAAAAAAAAAGTGATTATTAAAAAATGGGTTATTTGAATGTTAGACTGGGAAGGGTGAAGAAGAAAGGAGAAAGGAATTATTTGCTTTTCCTTGAAATAGTAATAATTTTCCATTTCTCTCATGTTTCCTATTCCAGCAAGTTCCATCTGCTTTTCTAAACTATCCACCAGAATAGAAAAATAACAAACTAAAAAATGATACAGGAAAAAGGAAAGACTTTTAAGTGATGAGATTGTTTGTTTTGTTTTGATAGCACCTTTGCTAGGCTTTGTTTTAAAGCACCATACAGGAAAACAAACTAACTGATTTCACTTAATTACAGTCTTTTAAAAAAATTTTTGCAATAACTACCTAATTCTCAGGGCCTCTCTGAAGAGCATTCTAATGACAAAAATCCTTGATTTGCCATTTCTTAATAGGGTGAGTGTAAACTAATCTTATTATGTATCATGCATTAAGGCCAGGCACTTGAAAAGCATGTTCTCATATAATCCTCACCACTATAAAGTAACTATTGTTGTCTGACTTTTACAGATGAGGCTCAGTTATCGCTATTACTTTAGAAAGCAATCTTTATTTCTTTTCTTCTTTCTCTTTTTTTTGGAGAGGGAGCGAGAAAACGGAATGGAGGGGCAGAGGGAGGGGGAGAAAGAATCTTAAGCAGGCTTCATGCCCAGCACAGAGCCCAACGCAGGGCTCAGTCTCAAAACCCTGAGATCATGACCTGAGCCAAAATCAAGAGTTGGATACTTAACTAACTGAGCTACGCAGGCACCCCAGAAAGTAATCTTTCTAAAGGCATACACCCAAGAATCGAGTCTAAGCCTGTCTGATTCCAAAGTCTATACATTTTCCATTCTAAATGCTATCTGCCTCCTAAACTTTCTCATCTTTTTGAAATATGTCATAATTGTGGGAAAAAATATTTCTTTTTTAGCATCCTTAGTCAAACATTAAAAACAGTGAAATTTTTTAAAAATTGTATGTTTAAAGCTTTGTAAAAAATATTTATACCTGTAGTTATAGACGGGAAGGCATTAAAAACAAAAATAGTGTGTATGATTGATAAATGGTTTAATCCTATATATACCAATTCAAAGATGTAAAAGTTCTTAGAGCTGACTAGTAACAGCCATATGAGCTCAGACTCACTGTTCTCTCTGTGCTCTTGAGAGAGGCTCCAGCTCATGTGTGCTAACTGAAAGTCTTCTGACCATGTCAGTACGTATTCTAAGAGTCTACTGATTGGAAGATTCACACTCAATATCTTGGAAGCTAAAAGGACCATTTTATTTTATTTATATAAACATACATATATATATACACATATATTTTATATAAATACACATATATGTGTGTGTGTTTATATCTGTATCCTTCAATTACATGATACATCCCAATTTTGGAAATGTGAAATTATACCTTAAAAATTAAGGAAATACAGGGGCGCCTGGATGGTCCAGTTGGTTAAGCATCTGCCTTTGGCTCAGGTCATCATCCCAGGGTCCTGGGATCGAGATGCTCATTGGGCTCCTTGCTGGGCGGGGAGCCTGCTTCTCCCTCTCCCTCTGCCTGCTGCTCCCCCTGCTTGTGCTCTCTCTCTCTCTGTCAAATAAATAAATAAAAGCTTTAAAAAACAAATTAAGGAAATACAACATTTGTTGCCATCACATGACCTAAATACGCTAGTGCTGCTGATTCCTTAAATCAAGTGATAGTACTATGGGTGATCATTTTTTTTCTTTAGAGTTATTGCTGTGTTGCTAAATAAGGAAAAGTATATATTTAATATTGACCTGTTTCATAAAGTTGCCAATTGTTTAAAACTCAGTTTTGTTTTATAGGTATTATCCCTACCATTATGCACCTTTCCTGTCTGATATCCGTAACATCAGTACACTCAAAATCCATTTTGAACTAGGAAAACCTTTTAAGCCATTTGAACAGCTTCTTGCTGTACTTCCAGCAGCTAGCAAAAATTTACTTCCTACATGCTACCAGGTGAGTTTTAAAATTAAATGTTTTTATGTCCTTTTTGATACTTAGGAGCTCCTCATACAAGCCTAGAAGCCTTTGATTGTTCTGTGCCCGTGCCATACTGGTTATTAAATATTTTTGTATTACCCTGAGAAATATGCTGTTTTATTTATTTAAAAAATGTTATACTATAATCTTTTGTAGTTCTTTCCTAGAAGACATACTTATGCTTTCTTCATCTATCTCTGTTATAAAATGTCCAATTAAAACATGTCTTTTTACTGGACCTTTCATCTTTGCTATTAGTGATGAAGAGATTCTTGGATTTTAGAATTTTTTTCTTTTTAAATTATCTCAGATAATTTAAACTTAGATCTTATATTACTTAACAAAATCAATTGGTTAGGACACAAAAGTACAAAAGTAAACAAGGTTAAAAATGGAGGACTGTTGGAAGCCTGTGAAATGAAGTCTGAGAACAGAATTTAAGTGGGCCTTAAAGAGTGATAAGACAATAGATAGAAATGGTAAAGTTGAAATTCAGAGTAAAGATGGTTTTGCTACATAACTAGGTCACTGGAATGGAAAAGTGATGAGTAGCAGTGAAATTAGAAGTCTCATAGCTGAAAATCAAAAATATAGCAAGTATATTGCAACATTTCTAAGATGTAAAACTTTAGTTTTGCTTTTGCTTAGGAATTTTAAACTGTAACATGAGTAAATATTGTAAATATATTAACAAAATGTTATATTGATATTATTCTTATATTTCTATTACTCTTTTATATTTCCATAGCACTTGATGACCAGTGAAGACTCACCAATTATAGAATATTATCCACCTGATTTTAAAACTGACCTAAATGGGAAACAACAGGAATGGGAAGCTGTGGTACTAATACCTTTTATTGATGAGGTCAGTACATGAAATAGTTATATATACACATATATTCTTTCTTTCTTCCAAGTTTTTGTTTAAATTCCAGTTAGTTAACGTATGGTGTAATATTATTTACAGGTGTAAAATTTGGTGATTCATCACTTATGATACCTGGTGCTCACCACAACACTTGCCCTCCTTATTCCTCATCACCTGTTTAACCTGACACCCTGCCCACCTCCTCTCCAGTAACCATCAGTTTGTTCTTTATGATTAAGAGTCTTTTTCTTGGTTTGCCTTTTCCCCCCTACATTCATTTGTTTCTTAAAGTCCTCATATGAGTGAAACCATATGGTATTTGTCTCTCTCTGACTTATTTCACTTAGCATAATCCTCTCTAGCTCCATCCGCCTCATTGCAATGGCAAGAGTTCATTCTTTTTTATGCCTGAGTAATATTCCATTGTATATATATACCACATCTTCTTTATCCATTCATCAGTCAATGGACATTGGGCTCTTTCCATAGTTTGGCTATTGGTGGAAATGCTGCTGTAAACATCGGGGGGCATTTATCCCTTTGAATTAGTATTTTTATATCCTTTAGGTAAGTACCTAAAGGTACTTACTACTGGATTGTAGGGTAGTTCTGTTTTTAACTTTGGCGAACCTCCATACTGTTTTCCAGAGTGGCTGCAGCAGTTTGCATTCCCACCAACAGTGTAAGAGTGTTCCCCTTTCTTCACATCCTTGCCAAAACCTGTTATTTCCTCTGTTGTTAATTTTAGCCATTCTGACTGGTGTGAGGTGATATTTCATTGTAGTTTTGATATTTATTTCACTGATGATGAGTGATGTTGAACATCTTTTCATTTATACACATATATTCTTAGAGATTATTTCACGTAAGTTAATGAGCAATGGGTTTTAATCACCATTTATGTTTTATTAATGAGATTTAGCTACTCTCTTCTTCATTATGCACATCAAAACTTCTAGGTATGCTAAGAAAGCCAGAGTGGCTTTACTCACATTAGAAAAATAGACTTCAGGACAAGGAGTATTACCAGAGATCAAGAAGAATATTTCATATTGATTAAAAAATCAAGTAAGGGGGCGTCTGGGTGGCTGAGTCGTTACGCATCTGCCTTTGGCTCGGGTAGTGATCCCGGGGTCCTGGGATGGAGTCCCACATCAGGCTCCTTGCTCAGCAGGGAGTCTGGTTCTCTCCCTCTGCCCCTGCTTGTGTCCCCTCTCTTGCTGTGTCTCTCTCTGTCGAATAAATAAAATATTTAAAAAAAAAAATTGAGTCAGTTTGGGGCACCTGGCTGACTCAGTCATTAGAGCATGTGACTCTTGATCTTGGGGTTATGAGTTCAAGCCCCATGTTAGACACAGAGAGTACTCAAAAAAAAAGTCAAGTCAGTTCATCAAGAAAATATATCCTGAATGTATATGTACCTTACAACGGAGCTTCAAATACATAAAGCAAAAGCTATCAGAATTGAAAGGAGAAAAAATTAAAAGGGAAATTCAAAAATATTGTGATCTAAATGATAATAAATACACAACATAATCTGTGTGATGAAGCTAAAGCAGTGCTTAAAGGGATGCTTAAGTTTCTAGATGCTTACACTGAACAAGAAAAAGTCTTACAATAAATTATCTAAGCTTCCTACCACAAGAAGCTAAAAATACAAGAGAAATTAAACCCAAACTAAGCAGAATGAAGGAAATAATAAAGATAGGAACAGAAATCCATAAAAAATGAACAAACAATAGAGAAAAATCAATGGAACCAAAAGCTCTGAAAGTAAATTATACCTCAAAAAAAGTGTCCTCTCGGGGCAGGGGGGAGGGGGATAAAAACTGACATGATTATGGAGTGGAGGAAACAAGTGTTTATTCACATCTCATTAATTTTTAAACAAGAACACTTGTTATATGCGAAAAGATACTTGCTAGCCACCAGACAGGATTAAGTTGTGACATAGTCATTATAGCCTGCATGTCTACAAACTTAGTTCCATGTAGATAGTTATTGTTGTTCATCCAGTTATCACATTAGTTCATTGTGATTGAATTTTAAGGTTGGACACCTCAATGAAATTTTAACTGTTTTCAGCAAAATTGCATTATGATATTACCACTGAAACAAAACTTGTAGCTGGCAGAATCACCATATTCTTCTATATTTTTTGGAACCAAAAGCTCAGAATTTACACAAGAAGTTATCTGAAAGTGGATACGTAAGATGTAAAAAGAAAAATTCCTGTTACAGGATAGTCAGTGAAAGTGTATGCTGGTGGAAATTACTAAATAGGAATAGATGATAAAATTTTCAGAACTGAGAAATTGTCATGAAAAATTATTACACAAACTCTGGTGCTAGAAACAGTTTGCCTGCAGACTTGAGCTGTTTGCCATGTGTACTCTCACCCTTGCCTTCACCCTCACCCTTGCTCTCTAGTGGAGTTGGTTGTCTGAGATGATCTTACTGATATGATTGGTGGTTGGTGTTAGTTGTGAGCTGAGCCCTCTGTGTGATCCCTCACCCTCCAGGAGGCTAACTCAGGTTTATTCTCACAGTGATCTTGGGTTCCAGGAAGGTGAGAACAGAAGCTACAGGGCCTCTGGAGCTTTGGAGTTTGCATAGTATCACTTTGACTACATTCTTTTGAATAAAGCAAGTTATAAGACCAACTTGGATTTAAGAAAGAGGGAGATAGACTACTTTCTTAACATTTAAAGGAGCTTGCATACGAAGATAGGAGGAATTATTATGACTGTCTTTGCAAACCATCTATTACAGTCTGCCCCCTTGGGCTAAAATTTGCATCCCATTCAAATACAAAACACACTGACCTCTCCCAAAAATTTCATCTCATTATACATCAGGCTGAAAGCCTAGAATTTCATCTTTAAATCGAGTCTAGATGCGGATTAAGGTCCTCAAATGCAGCTCCCCAGGGACATCTCTCCTGACTCAGAGACCTGTGAATGAAAAAAAAAAAAAAAAATTATCTACACTCCCCAACATACCCAAATTTATATTGGAGAGACAATGACAGGAGCCCGATGTGGGGCTTGATCCCAGGACCCTGGGATCATGACCTGAGCCGAAGGCAGATGCTTAATGACTGAGCCACCCACGCGCCCCTATTATTTTTAAGATTTATTTATTGGAGGGGAGGGGCAGAGGGAGAGAGAGAATTTCAAGCAAACTCCCCATTGAGTGCAGAGCCCAAAACAGGGCTCACTCCCACAACCCTGAAATCACGACCTAAGCCAAAATCATGCCGTGATCCGAAATCAAGTGTTGGATGCTTAACTGACTGAGCCACCCAGGGGCCCCAGTATATATGTACACATATATTTTTGACAATTTTTTATATTTTGTATATGAACAAGGATTAGACTCAAATTTTGAATGTGACATTAGAGAAAAAAATAGGATGTAAGTAAATACCATTGTCAGTTAACAGTAATTATGGAAATTCAATTTATTATTTCCTGAAAATTTGTTATTAATTTTATTGTATTAATATTTACAGTATCAATAGTATCTTAGAATCAAGACATTATGGTATAGTATTATCTGTTTTATTCTATAATCTTTTCTAGATTTTGCTACTTCTTTCCTCTTTATACCACTTTTTCTGTAAATGTTTTAAAAAATGGCATAGATAATTATTGGACTAAAAGTCTAGGAGGCCACTCTGGAAAATAGTTCAGCAGTTTCTTATAAAGTTAAACATAGATTTACTATTCAACCCAGCAGTCACACTCCTGGATATTTATCCTAGAGAAATGAAAATTATGTCCACACAAGAAAACCTATACATGAATGTTCAGAGCAATATATTTGTAATAACCCCAAACTGGAAAAAATTCAAATTCCCTTTAATGAGTGAATAGATAAACAAATTGAGATATATCCATATAGTGGAATATTACTCAGCAATATAAAGAACTATTGATATAAACAACTTGGATGAAAATAATTCAGTTAAGTGAAAAAAGTCAGTGAGTAAAAAAAGTCAGTCTCAGAGGGTTATATAATATTGTTTTATTTATATAATCTTGAAATGACAAAATTACTGTGATATAAAACATGGAGTGGTTGCTAGGGGTTAAAGTTGAGGATAGGGTGTGATTATAAAGGGATAACAAGGAATTTCTTTATGATATAACAGTTCTGTATTCCAATTTTAGTGGTGGTTAATATGAATCTATACATTTGATAAAAATTTCATAGCAGTGTATACACAAAAAATCACATACAAAAACCAGTGAAATCTGAGTAAGTCTGTAGTTAATTGTGTTGTACTCATGTCAGTATCCTGGTTTTGATAATGTACTGATGCTATGTGTAGGATGTTATCATTGGGGAAAGCTGGGTGAAAGGTACATGAGAACACTCTGTACTAATTTTGCAACATGTGAATCTTCATGTTTTTTGTCACTGTACATAATGCTATAATAAACTACCTGCGTATTCATGTATTCTTTTTGTTTGTTTATGCAGTCTTAGGTTTGGGAGATTTTGTTTTTTTAACATAGATTCCCAAAAGCAGGATTCCTTGGCTAATGGGAATGTATATTTTTACATTTAGGGAATATTCTTTTTCAAAAAGACTAGTCTAATTCACCCAATATTTAGTGCCTACTTCTCTGCCTCTCCAAACCTAGATATTACTGCTTCACTTAATTTTGGCCAATCTGTTGATGATGGGTGCCATTTTGTTATTCACATTTGTTTTTCTCTGATCCCTAACTTGAGCATATTTTTATATGTGTATTTGCCCTTTGTATTTTCCCTTCTGTAAATTACCTGTTTATATCCTTTCCCTCATTTTCCTTTCTTTATTTCTGTCAGTTCTTTGTATGATAGGAGTATTCTTTCCCAGCATGGCATTTGTCTCTTGTTTTGTTGATGAATCTTCTGTCACATACATTTTCTATTATTTAAAAATGTCTTTTCCTGGGGCGCCTGGGTGGCTCAGTTGATTAATCATCTGCCTTTGGCTCAGGTCATGCAAGCCCTGCGTCAGGCTCCTTTCTCAGCAGGGAGTCTGCTTCTCTCTCTGCCCCTCCCTCTGCTCATGTTCTCTCTTGCTCTTTCTCTCTCTCAAATAAATAAATAAAATCTTCTAAAAACTAAAATTAAAAATTTTAAAAATGTCTTTTCCCTTAAGACTGTTAGGTTTTTTCCACTCTTATTAAATGAGTTTATCACTCCAAATTACTGATACTCTCTCCTAGATTTTCTTTCTAATACTTCCATTGTCTTACTACTCTTGATACATGTTTTTGTATATGGTATGAAGTTGGGAAGTGTATGTGCTTCTTTTTCCAGTGAATAGGTGGTTATGACAACACCATTATTTAAATATTTGAAAAACTATGTTTGACATAGATTTAAATTTGTTTTGACCTCTTTATTCTGTTCCTCTGGTCTGTGGGTTTCTTGTGTCAATATTAAAGTGTTTTTATTACAGTAGCTTTATTAAAAGTGGTAGGATCTAGTAAGACAGGTTCCCAGTTTTTGCAGTTCACACATTCTTCCATATGAACACCAACATAATTTTGTCCTTTAAAAAAATTTTTTTAACAGTTTTGATTCTGACTGGAATTAAATGTAATTAAATTAAATTAAAATATATTTAATTAAATTAATTAAATGTATGAGATAATTGGGAGAGGTAAACATTTTCTATACCGTGGCAGAATTTGTAAAATAAGAGATTAATGCTTTATGAGTTATGATAAACTATAATTATGATAAGTTCACATTTAAAATTTGATTCTCTGCTGTTTTTTTTTTTTTTAAGATTTTTTTTATTTGAGAGAGAGTGAGCAAGAGAGAGAGCACAAGCTGAGGGGAGAGGCACAGGGAGAAGCAGACTCTCCACTGAGCAGGTAGCCCAATGCAGGGCTCGACCCCAGGACCCTAAGATCATGACTTGAGCCGAAAGCAGACACTTGATCGACTGAGCTACCCAGGCGCCCCGATTCTCTACTGTTCTTCTTCACACTTAGTGCCTATTGTTGGAATAATAGGTTCAGAATAATTTGTTGTGGCAAGCAATATTCTAGGGCCCTTTGAAACAGTTTTTCATGTAATAAAATGGAAAAGAATTCCATTAGTTAAGATTTTTGTTTTTCAAGAACACAAATAATGATTCTGTGTACTGAGGGAAAAGATCTATTCTGTATGTTGAGATTACAGAAATTTTATACTTTTAACCCTTCTCTTCAATCTTTAAATTCAGAAGCGATTATTGGAAGCCATGGAAACATGTAACCACTCCCTCAAAAAGGAAGAAAGGAAAAGAAACCAACATAGTGAATGCCTAATGTGCTGGTATGATAGAGACACAGAGTTCACTTACCCGTCACCATGGCCAGAAAAGTTCCCTGCCATAGAACGTTGTTGTACAAGGTAATGTTACTTGGTAATTTTTCAACAACAGCAAGGAGCTCCCTTTGGGGGGAAGAGGAGGGGAGGGGGAAGCTTTGAATATCTACTTGGAGAACTAACAAATAATTTTTGATAGTTACAGTCTGTTGATGATGAGTTACATCCAACTTGCCAAAGACCATAGCATCTCCCTCTCACAATTGTAATTCTCTGCTTTGGTCAGATTCTTCTTCTCTCTCTCTCTTTTCTGTTAAAGTTGGGTTTTTTTTTAAATTTTTCCTCCCTAGTGTATATCTGTACCCTCCCCACCTCAAGAGGATGTATGAATTTTTGTTTCCATTGTCAGTGTCTGCTCCTAGCATTATTTGATGTGCTATGACTTTGCCTCTTACATTCCCAACCACCCAACCAGAAAGAAGAAAAAAAGAAACAAAAGAGGTCCTATAATTTCTTGCCTCAAACCCATTTCTACTTTCTCTTCCTCATTAAAATGTCACTTTTTTTCTTTTCTCTCATTTTCGCTGCAAATTACCCAGATGGCACCTAAAGTGAACATCTCCCAGTTATGCTTTTCCTTTTTGTTAAAGCAAAGAGAAAGATAAATAGACATTATAAAATGTTGATTTTCCATCTGGGTTATAGAACATGGGAGATATGGAGATTTGTAACATGCTTTATATGTTCTGTTACTTCTAAATTAAATATATATATATGTATAGTTTTATTTTAAGTTAATGGGGAAAACTTCTGTTCAGTAACCTACAGGCATAGTTGCATCTAGCCAATTACATTAACAGAGAATCTGGGTTGCCCTGCTGTATATTTTCTTTGTCTTGAAAGACAGATTGTCATTCCCTTGCTTAAAAGCATGGGTGACTCTTGCAAAATATTCAAGGGAATACTGAAAAACTGTGATTGCTTGCAGTGTGTGAATTTTGAATTAAATTCCTTGATTTATTTTCTAGGTATAAAATAATATCATTAGATGCTTGGCGTGTAGACATAAGCAAGAACAAAATAACCAGGATTGACCAGAAGGCACTGTATTTCTGTGGATTTCCTACCCTGAAACACATCAAACACAAAGTCAGTGGCTGTTTAGTTCAGAATTTTTTCACCTTATTGAATGTAACGTGATTATGGAGAAAGAATTAAAATTAAATTCTCTGAATTCTTTTAAAGTTTTTTTTGAAGAAAAGTGGGGTTCAAGTATTCCAGCAAAGCAGTCGTGGAGAAAACATGATGTTAGAAATCTTAGTGAATGCAGAATCAGATGAACTTGTAAGTATTTTCTTTGTTATATATTTATTAAGTGTTTATTATACATAAAACTATACATAAAACTGTTCTTATTATACATAAAACTGTTCTAGTTGCAATTTACCAAAGAGATATAACATGTAGTAATTCCAAAAGTTCATAGTAAATAAGGAAAAAGGAAAGAAACATTTACACAAATTTTAAAGGATATGTATAATTGTGATGTAATGAGCAAAAAGTACTCCATGAATTTTGGAAAGGAGATAAGCTACGTGAGCTGAAGATTAAGTACAGCCTTGTAGATGAGACTAGGCTTGAGCTGGGTGCTAAGAAAAAGATTATCACAGAGAGGAGAAAACTAGGGAAAGGGTATTCTAGTTGAAAGGAATAACCTGAGCTGGAAATAAATGTGTGATACATTATCTTATTCTTTTTAACCTTTTTGTATGTCTAAAATTTTTCTTAATACTCTTTCTTTTTTTAGAATAAATATGATGTATTTGAGGAGAAGGAATAGATAAACCTGACTGAAGCAGAGGACTTGTGTTGGGAAGTAGTAGAAGATAAGGTTGAAAAAACAGATTGAGGCCAGATTATGGAGGACCTTGAATACCAGGCTAAGGAGTTTGGACTTTTTTTTTCATAACTGTTATCTTGAAATCGTACTTTCATAAGGATTAATTTGGTGGCAATATAATAGACTAAATTGCACAAAAGAGAAATGGAAGAAAATGGAAAAGCCTGCAAGTTCAGAGGTTGTGGTTATAGAAGTGTTAGGTGGTAAGGACAAAAACTGGAAGTAGTGATAGATCTGGATGAATAAGACTAATAAAATCAACAAGTTTCATCATTTGTTCAAACATAGAGGATGAAAAGAGGAAGAAAATACTAAATATGACAGATTTCAAGCCTGGTTAACTAGAAAATAATTGCTGTTTATTGGAATAAGGAAGTTAAAGTGGGAAAGTCTCTGGCTTGAGGGGATTAATGATAAATAATGATGGAATTTTAAGGCAATGCTAGGATGCTTAACTGGTGCTGCCCTGCCAGCCTTTCTCAACAAAGAGTTCCACAAGAGATTTAAACCCTAATGCCCTAAGTCATCCATTTGAATGTAGTAGATTAATTTATATTCTGTACATTTAGAGTGGGACTAGTTGTGTACCATCCTTCGGAGAATTGAGAAAATAGTCAAATTATTTTTTGTGTTCTGTGGTTCAGATGAAAAACCTCAGTGGAGAAAGGCTGCTTATACACAATACCTGGAGCTAGAGCTTGGAGGGAAGTAGGGATACATGAGTCATTAGCAAGGAGTGATGGCTGAGGCCTTGTGGCTTATTTTCCTGAAGAAAATTGACTCTGAGAGTTCAGATCTCAGCAGGAGGAAATACCCATAGTTATAAAGTGTGGAGAAGGAACCAGTGAAAAAGACAATAGTGTTCAGAGAGGTGAGAGAGAATGATTTCCAAGTTAAGTAACATCACAGAAGCATGAAGTAGATACTACATACAGTGCAAGAAGAATAAAAACTAAAACAAGGTCTGTGAATTTATCCTTCAGGCATCATTATTGGCCTTTGAGGATTTCATTCCTAACTCTTAAGAACCAGTTGGTGGGTCTAGGTAGATGGAAAGTAGAAGTACCAGGAATTAGGCCCTTGGTTAGGAAGATTATCATTGAAAAGAAGTCTAGAAACATAACTGAAGGTAGAGAAGAGACAGTTTAACAAGCTAAATCCATACCAAAGGAGAGAGGTAGAGCTAATGGAGGAAGGAGGTCTTAAAGACACTAGAGGGAAGGAATCTTAATGATAACAAAACCCCATGTGAGGTGTTAAGGGATCTCGTTTTAGGCTTAATCTGAGGATTAATTTGAGAAATGACTTTTCCTTCAAAAACTATAGGGAAGAGTGGGAGAAAGAAAGAAGAAATAGATGTATAGAAGGGAAAAAGATAATTATGGGATCCTAGTTCTAATGTTGAAACTTGTTTTATTTATCAGAATAGTCATTCTTTTGTTTTATATGTTCATATCAAGAAATGTCTAAATATAACTGAAAGTTACTACAAAAAGTCTAAAAATAGTCATGTGTAATTGTTAAAGAAATACTTGCTAATATGTTTAAGCATAATAAACAAAAGAATTGAATGAGAATTTGTATTTAAATTTCAGTTGCTACCACAAAGTTGTTGTTTAACCAATAATAATGATAATGTTTCCTTTTAAAACTAGAATTTTTACCTAAGATATTATTTCATACAGAATATTTATACAGCATTTTATAGTTTATAAAAGCTTTTGTGTATATTATTTTATCACCAAATAAACATTGTAAGGTAGATGTTATTTCTTATTCTCATATAAGAAAACTGTGCCTCAGTGGGGTTTTAAATGATTTGCCTACGATTCAATAGCTGGAAAGACATAGAACCCAAATTTGGACCCATGATTCCTAATTTTAAGTCTAAGCGTTCTTACTTCTTTATACCAACTACAATTGAAATGAAGTCAGATTTCTTAGATTCTGTTACCTGATTATGTGATAAGAAACAATGAATAATAGCCCTTTTCTAGACATTTCTGCTATTCTTGTCACCTTTCTCAGTCTCCATGAGAAAAATAATCATGAGAATGATAGGATTGTGGAATTTTACAACTGGGTAGAATTTGTAAAGCATCTATTCCAACTCATTAATTTTACAAATTAAGAAACTTAAATGGAGTTAGCAACAGAACTAAGAACCTAGGTTTCTTGCTAAACATTATTTCTAGTAATGTTGGCTATTACTATGGACAGTAATACATTACAGGTCAGTGCTCTTCAGTTTAATTTCACTGAAACCTATTTTCTCACCAAGTAATTTCATTCAGGATTAAAGTCATTGGGCCACCCTTTACTAATAAGTGCCATTGCTGTTGAGAAAAGGAGGGGGCAAGCTTCCTGGTGTCATAATGTTTATACTGGAGAATAGTACTTTAAGTTGTTCATAGTTCCTCTCTAATAAGAAGGGATTGGCAGAGGGGAAGGTAAACTTGGTCAGCTTTAACAGATTCATACTAAAATAAAGGGTTAAAGAAAGGCAGATGGGTAAAAACAACAGAAAAATATTTCTTAAAGGAAAGGACAGGGGAATTCTACCAGACATTTAAAGAAGAATTAATACCTATTCTCCTGAAACTGTTCCAAAAAATAGAAATGGAAGGAAAACTTCCAAACTCATTTTATGAGGCCAGACAAAGACCCCATCAAAAAGGAGAATTACAGACCAATATCCTTGATGAACATGGATGCAAAAATTCTCACCAAAATACTAGCCAATAGGATCCAACAGTACATTAAAAGGATTATTCACCATGACCAAGTGGGATTTATCCCTGGGCTGCAAGGCTGGTTCAACATCCGCAAATCAATCAACGTGATACAATACATTAACAAAAGAAAGAACAAGAATCATATGATCCTCTCAATAGATGCAGAAAAAGCATTTGACAAAGTACAGCATCCTTTCTTGATCAAAACTCTTCAGAGTATAGGGATAGAGGGTACATACCTCAATATCATAAAAGCCATCTATGAAAAACCCACAGCGAATATCATACTCAATGGGAAAAAACTGAAAGCTTTTCCCCTAAGGTCAGGAACACAGCAGGGATGTCCACTATCACCACTGCTATTCAACATAGTACTAGAAGCCCTAGCCTCAGCAATCAGACAACAAAAAGAAATAAAAGGCATCCAAATAGGCAAAGAAGAAGTCAAACTCTCACTCTTTGCAGATATGATACTTTATGTGGAAAACCCAAAAGACTCTACCCCAAAACTGCTAGAACTCATACAGGAATTCAGTAAAGTGGCAGGATATAAAATCAATGCACAGAAATCAGTGGCATTTCTATACACCAACAACAAGACAGAAGAAAGAGAAATTAAGGAGTCGATCCCATTTACAATTGCACCCAAAACCATAAGATACCTGGGAATAAATCTAACCAAAGAGGCAAAGGATCTGTACTCAGAAAACTACAGAATACTCATGAAGGAAATTGAGGAAGACACAAAGAAATGGAAAAACGTTCCATGCTCATGGATTGGAAGAACAAATATTGTGAAAATGTCTGTGCTACCTAGAGCAATCTACACACTTAATGAATCCCTATCAAAATACCATCAACTTTTTTCAAAGAAATGGAACAAATAATCCTAAAATTTGTATGGGATCAGAAAAGACCCCAAATAGAGGAATGTTGAAAAAGAAAGGCAAAGCTGGTGGCATCACAATTCCAAACTTCCAGCTCTATTACAAAGCTGTCATCATCAAGACAGTGTGGTACTGGCACAAAAACAGACACATAGATCAATGGAACAGAATAGAGAGCCCA